GATACCCAAGCCAACCGTATCCTTATCTTTATTTCTCCTGTCTGATTTTCTTTATTTAATTTAACTAGTTGTCACAAATATACATATTCTTTTACTTGTTCTATAGTTGTTTGTAATAACCGCAATAACCAAAGCAGAGACAGAATCGGTCAGAACATTACCATCGATGACTTTAACTTTGAGCGCGTTAGGGAATTCAAGTATCTTGGAACAACAATAACTGAAGACAATAACGGATCACAAGAAATAAACAACAGGATTCAGGCCGGCAACAGATGTATTTTTGCCCTCCAAAACCTTATAAAATCAAAACAACTAACACGACGTACGAAGATACAGGTCTATAAAACAATCATACGACCCGTTGTGATGTATGGAAGCGAAACGTGGACGATGACAAAGGCAAATGAAGAGAGACTACGTGTTTGGGAAAGAAAAATCCTAAGGAAGATCTTTGGTCCGGTGCTTGATGAAACATCAGGACAATATAGGATAAGAACTAATAAAGAGCTTGAAGAACTTTACCCAGACGCCAACATCATAAAAGAAATAAAGTCCAGAAGACTCCAATGGGCAGGACACCTCAGAAGACATTCTGACGAACGAACAGTAAGACTGGTGTGGCAGGAAGTCCCAACTGGAAGGAGACCACGCGGACGCCCTCGTCTCCGGTGGCGAGATAATATAGCAGGAGACCTAAGCACTATGGGCGTGGAGAATTGGATGGAGGTTGCTCAAGACAGAAAACAGTGGAGGCATGTTGTCGAGTCGGCTAAAACCCACGAAGGGTTGTAACGCCACGGAGTAAGTAAGTAAGTAAGTATAGTTGTTTGTGCAATTGTAATTATTAATTCTTCTGGTTGGTTGGTCACAATTTTCGTTTTATTATAATTCATTTGTAGATCTATTTTTGTTGATTCGCTATTTAATTTATCCATCATATTTTGTAATTTTTTCCTTTTATCTGTTATTAATACAATGTCGTCTGCATATGTCAAGTGATTTAAGTATTGGCCATTTATGTTAATACTTCGTTTTCCCATTGTAATTTCCTCATAACGTCTTCCAAAGCTTGATTGAATAGTTTGCGTGATATAGTGTCATCCTGTCTGACTCCTCGCTGTATCTTAATAGGCTCCGTTTGTTCAACTATTTTAATGGATGTTGTTGTTTGAACATATATATTGGAAATTAGGTCTGTATATATATATAGTCTATTCTCCCATTTTGTAAAGAGTTGTTTACTGCCCAATGTTCCACCTTATCAAATGCTTTTTCAAAGTCTACAAATTCCATATACATTGGGATTTGATATTCGTTAGCCTTTTCAATTAATATTTTTATCGTAATCAGATGGTCGCTTGTACTGAACCCTTTTCTAAAACCGGCTTGCTCTCTAGACTGGTAATTATCTAACTTAGTTGTTAATCTGTTTGTTAGTAGTTTAGTTAACAGTTTGTACATTATAATAAGTAGAGTTATGGGCCTATAGTCTTTCAAATCTTTTCTATCGCCTTTCTTAAATAGTAATAGTGTTATTGTCCCGTTCCATGTGGTGGGTATTTGTTTTGTGTTCAATATTTTATTCCATAGTACATAAAGGACTCAATTTAAGATATAACATAAGAATTAATATGGCAAAATTATGTAAACATATATTGATTTATATACAAAATAAAACGTAAAGCATAACAAAGAGAAATTATTTGAGTGGAGATCATCGATCAACGTCTGTACTAAGAGCGTCGTTGAGAGACTTGAGACATGAAAATATGGCCAAATATTATTGAATTACGTAAGAATCCCAATAAAGAAAATGCGATACTGTATTGAATCAAAAAACTTCTATTGACGTTTACTCTGCGAGCATCGTTAAAGAGTCCTGTTTAATATTTTGTGCACGAAGCAATTGTTAGATATATAAAGTCATCAAAAAATGAGACTTGGTTAGTATGACTGATTCGTATTTGTCAGAATTCTGACCAGAGATCTGTAATTTAAAATAGACAAAATACTCTAGTAATCGAAGAAGATAATAAGATATTGTTGGGGAGGAAGATTCCTTAAGAAAAAGGAATTTTTAAAAATGCTGGTGTACAATAAAACCATAATGGTGTATAATAAAAAAATGATGTAAAACTAACAAAAGTAATCAAAAAAGATTCTGATATAACGATAATATTAGGAAGACCAGCTGTTCAGAAAAGGAATCATCGACATTTAGAAAAACTCTGGATTAGATTATGTAGAGAAATGATCACCTCCACACAGTAAAGACACTCATTGAAACATCTATAGAATATAACAAACCTCTTGTTCTCACTTTCATATATTTTCATGAAGCGTTCAACACGATCGAATTAGACAGCCTTATAGAAGCAATGAATGACAGCAGGATTGACCATAGGTATAGTGAGCTTATTTATAATATTTACAAAAATGCCACTATGACTGTTAAAATAGACAATAAAACCCGACCAATAAAAATAAATCGTGGAATAAGGCAAGGAGATACATTGTCGCCGAAATTATTCATAACGGCATTAGAATATGCCATTAAGATGATCAATTGGGACCACAGAGGAGTAACGATAGACGGCGAAAAGCTTAACCATCTCCGTTTCGCAGATGACATTGTCCTTATCACAGATAATTTAGGAGAAGCTACAGATATGTTAAACGAATTGGATTTTGCATGTTCGAATGTGGGCCTGAGAATGAACTTGACCAAAACTAAGTTTATGACAAATTTGGTCCCCAATAACCATTTGACTATTCAAGACAAAGTTGTAGAACTGGTGGAGAAATATACGTATTTGGGTCATGAAATAAGAATCAGCAGGGATAACCAAACATGTGAGATCCAAAGACGAATTACTTTAACATGGGCAGCCTTTGGAAAACTGCGAGACACACTTAGGGCCAACATACCAATCAGCCTCAAAAGAAAAGTGTTTGACCAATGCGTATTACCGGTCATGACCTAGGGGGCGGAAACTATGACTTTAACCAAGACCACGGCTTCGAAACTGAGAGTGGCACAGAGACGAATGGAACGGTCTATGCTGGGAGTGACGTTGAGGGACCGAATAAGAAACGAAGATCTGCGAAGAAGGACGAGTATTACTGATGTTGTGGAACGCATAGCGGAACTAAAATGGAACTGGGCAGGCCATGTAGCGAGAATGCACGATTCACGATGGACGAGCAAAATTACAAATTGGAGGCCAAGAGCAGACAAACGCAGTAGAGGAAGACCACCTACACGTTGGGCCGACGACATCAGGCGTATCACTAAAAATTGGCAACAAAGAGCACAAAATCGTGAGGAATGGAGGAGTTTAAGGGAGGCCTATGTCCAGCAGTGGACGTGATAAATAGAGGCTGGATGATGATGATGATGATGATGTAGAGAAATAGAGGAGATTGTACAAATTGTACAAATCATGTGTACGATTGTAAACAATTGTACAAATTATAACAATATTATAAATTTTGAAAATAAAGCAAAACCGAACCAGATATATTTTGGAGTTTTATATATTTATAATTGTATAAAATAAATTCTTTTTCTTCTTCTTTTTATATAGACATAACTGTCTGTTTTTCAATGTGTTTTACTGGATGTACAGTACGACCAGGATAGCATTAGACGTGAACTGCGCGTTAACCGTTGTAGGGCTGCAGAATTCATTTGTGGGTGTAAAACAAAATACCGAATTATGTCCTACGTCACAACATAACCAGCATAAACCCAATCTTACATTACACCCACAAATGAATTCTACAGCCCTACAACGCTTAACGCGCAGTTCACGTCTATTGCTATCCTGGTCGTACTGTATATCTCTGCTGTTTATAATATAATCTATCATAGATCTTTGTCCACGATTGTTATTAAATGTAAATTTGTGTTGCTCTTTGTGGTCAAAAAATGTGTTGTTTATTCTTATTATTTGTGCAGAAATTGATCCAGTTCTTCATTTTTGTTTTTAACATTCTCGGTATGTTTTTTTTTGATGCCGGGTATTACTTGGTTGTCTATTCCAGCGTTAAAATCCCACGAATATTATCATCTTTCCTCTGACTTGATCTACTACTTGTTGTAATTGGTCGTAAAACGCTTCTCTTGTTGTTTGAGGCTTATTATTTTCTGGGCAGTATACTCCGATGATGTTCAGGTCTTCCTTCTCCATTCTTATCTTTGCTGTTACTATTCTTTCTGATATGTATTGACACTCTTTGATCTGATTAAAGATCCAAAAAAATCTCTCTAAATTCTAAAAAAAACTAATTCTAATTGCATAAATATTAAAGTGAAAGTACAAAATAAGCAAGTGATATAATATTGTTTATGTAGAATAATGTTTTCCCTTATTGGCATAGGTCAGTGTAATGGCACGCAATTTATGTGTAAATGCGAAATGTCTTCACTTTTTAGGCACAATGCTGAGTTAGCAGCTCGTATGTGATTGAAAGAACACACCTTTATATTTTTAAAGAACTAAAATAAACTTTGACGCCGCTTAGTAAAGATGTATCTTTATTCCTCCTTAGCTACTTAACAAGTAAAAAGCCTATTTCCTATCACCGTACATGACGATCCTGCCAAACTATATAAAACACGAGATATGTGAAAATAAACCATTTGCGACATCTCGATAACCAATACACTATCTACGAGGGGTCAAGACCGATGATACGAAGATAAAGAGAGAGAGAGAGAGAGAGAGAGAGAGAGAGAGACAGAGAGAGAGAGAGAGAGTTAGAGAGAGAGAGAAAGAGAGATAGGGAGAGAGTATAGATATATACTCTAGAGAGGGTATGAGTATAGATGTTATCTATAAACACGAATACTACTACTTTATAGATGTTCTTTAAAGATCCTGGAAAAAATTCATGAAGAAAAACTTAGATACGCTTTTATGCGAACATTAATTCCTAAGTTTGTTACTTTATAAAATAGATCTAAAATCAAAGAGTATTTTTGAGTGACTCACCTGCAACGACTGCATACGCAATACCTTGTGGAATTTCTGTAAGACCAACGGTAAATCCAGCCAGAAGATCCTGTGAAAACGTTTGTAGATCATAAGATGGGAGCCATGTTAATATTGGAAGCCGTTTCTTTGCTACTTGTCTTATACTTGAATTTTCCAATGTTCCTGAAAATAAAGAAATGATATTAATTATTTAATACACAGCCAATTTTTAATACGACAAAACATATATGTTAATTATATACCGCCAAGAAGAGACACACCAAAACATTGCATCGACCAGCAGATAAATTTGATACAAACTTGAAATCGGCCCGTCTGGAAATCTCAGAAATATAAAATATACATGTACTTTACCCCATTTTATTGCAGTCGCCTTTTAATCGAAAGGCTCGATTATAACGAGAAAAAAAATCGAATTTCGCTCAAAAGTTTTATAACTGAAAATAATGTTAGGCTGTATAAATTACTATTTAGTAATTTTACAAATGTAGTAACGCTCAGACAAAAGTAGTAACGCTCAGTAGTAACACAAAAAACGCAGAAGGGATGAATGTGACAATTACAGAAGCATTGCCGTAAAAACTAGGTCAGTAAAAAGTAATTAAAAACATAATAGAAAGCGGATATAAATACCTAGAGGCTGAGGAACAGGCAGGATTTAGGTAGATCAGGTAGATCTACTATTGACTATTTGTTTTGCATTATACAGATTATTGAAAAGAAAATGGCCGTTAATCAAGACGTACATGTATTGTATGTAGACCTACGAAAGGGATATGATAGTGTACCACATAATAAAATATGTTAGGCGTTAGAGAAAACAAACATAAGCATGAATTTAATAAATGCGACGAAGGAACTGTACGCTAATGCCAACTCAAAGGTAAAGGTTGGAAATAATCTGTCAAGTGTATTCCAAATAAACAAAAGCCTTAAGCAGTGTTGCTGTCTCTCCCCGACATTATTTAATGGGAATATTTTAATTTAATTTATATGGGAATGCCGATTAACAACAACAGCATATACACTTTGTCATTTGCAGATGATCAACTAGTGATAGCACAAGATTATGAAGATATTGAGTATATGACTCGAAAATTAATCGAGGAGTATAAAAAATGGGGGCTTGAAATCAATATCCAGAAAACGGAGTATATGTGTATCGGCGAGACACAACATATATTGGAAGATGGAGAAGGTATCAAACGTTGCAACACCTATAAATATTTAGTTATGATCACCACAGAAGTAGGCAACGTAGAAGACACAATTGAGGAGAAAAACAACCAAGCAAGAAAATCAATTTCCCTTTTCAATAGTATGTTTTGGGATTAATTAATCTCTGATAATAACAAGCTCAAGATATTAATATAATACAATCATTAAAATTATAATTATCTACAGTAGTGAAGTATGGCAAACAAAGGAAAGATACAAGAGAAAACTTGAGGCAACGGAAATGAATTTCTGGAGACGTTCAGCTGGAAAATCTAGACTAGAAAAAGTAACGAACAACAGAATAAGAGAAATTATAAAAGTAAAACATACAATAATAGACGATATTTTTACCCAACAACTCAGATGGTACGGTTATGTACAGAGAATGTAGGAAGAACGTCTCCCAAAACAAGTCTTAGGTCGTCCGTACATGAAGCTACTAAAAAGAAAGTAGTTGCTAACTTTAGTTACCAATCGGTTGCTTATTAGTTACTGTCCATGTATTTTAATGAGTATCCGCACACAGCGCTACTAGTTAGTAACCATTCGACAGCAGACTGGACGTGCAGGTCGCTAGGGGACTAGCTTCTAGATTGTTGTGATGTTTTTAAAGTTTACACGCGAAATGGCGAAATTGGTGGAACAGTCGTTTAATATAAAATTAGTGCAAGAAGTGGACAAACATTCCTGCCTATACGACAAACGCTCTGCAATTTATATTGTTTGCAATGTATGGATGAACCCAATACCTCCTTTTTTTTCTGCATTTTAATATCTATAATATATCTTTAATATATATAATAATAAAGAATAACATCTTCATCACTTGAGTCACTAGACATTTTTAACGCGATAATACCACTCAATAATACAATATAAAGGTTAAAATTTAAACATCTTATAACAAAGCTACTCATAGAGGCAAGGCGTGACTCGTTTCTATTAATTTTCAGTAGCGTAGTGTGCGAGTCACAGTTAAGTAAACAGTTGGTAATTCTAGTTAACAACTAGTTTAGTTTCCTTTTAGTAGCTTCATGTACGGACGGCCTTAATGTGGACCCCTCACGGTAGAAACCAAAAGAGGAAGACCCCTTTGGAGAGAAGTCATCAATAGAGAAATGAAAGACAGAGACATAGAAGAAGACTTATGGATGAATCGAGAGGAGTGGCAACATGGGTATCGGAAGAAGTAGGATAACGTTTTAACCGATCTGTATATATATATATATATATATATATTATATATATATATATATATATATATGTAGAAGTAAAAAGTAATGGCATGTCTCGCAAAACAGAGTACCAAATATATATATATATATATATATATATATATATATATATATATATATATATATATATATATATATATATAAGAAATACTGGATATTAGTGACTGTAAATATAAACAAACAACACAGTTTATTAGGGCAGTCAGAATATTGGCCGGGATGTTAAATAACACTCGTTTGACTTTTTGTCTAGCTTTCGGAATGGATTTATCCTTTTTTCAAGACACTGTAATAAGACAAATATGTAAATATTTAAAAAATATCACAATTCTTCAGTGTAACATAAAGCATTGTGATATTTTTGCAACAGTTTATAAAAGCATAGACACTCAACATTTATAACACACATTAAAATATAAAATTATGGACAAAATATATTATAAAATTTTTAAAATTTATGGTAAAGATAGTAAAACTTAGTTTATGGCATGTTTTACTGGTGTGTTTTAACTCATATGTAAAGATAATGGAAAGTAAAAACACTGCAATTAACATGTAATTAGGTGTAATTGATGTTATCTTTCTTTTCAAGAAATACTAGAGGCCCATCTTAGGTGACTATACTTTTTAAACCTGTCTTAATGGTATGCAACATATTATACATACAGGTGTAATTTATGTACAGGTAAATATTTATTTCATTTTTGGTGTTTTTCTAGTAAATAACAATAAATGTTACTTAGTTTATCTATGTCAGACTTTTTATTGATGTAAGATGTGCTAGATTTTATGAAACACATTTCCAAAAAAACACGTTTTGAATGGTTCTTTTCGTTTACCAAAATACAGGAATCATCGAAATTGAATTCATGTTTCAGAGTTAGTGCATGTTCTGTCAATGCACATGCATTGATTTTTTTGGTTTTTATATCACTACGATGTGATATCACCCTGCTGTGAAAATTACGAGATGATTCTCCTATGTAATATGTAATAAAATTTACATAGATGAGAGTACTGAGAAGAATTACACGAAATGCGTGGAGTGTATAAATGAATGGACAAAAGAAAGAATGGAATAACCACACAAGCAGAATGGAGGAGACCCGTGTCGTCAAAATAGCAAGAGATAAGTCAAAAATCGGCAGGAGAAGTATCGGACGAAAAATGGAGTGATAACTTTGCATAGTGTATTAATCCGCCAATGAACAAGCAGAATTGTTTATAAAGAGGAAGAAGAAAAAGATTATTACAATGTAAAGTGACCAGCAAGGAAACATATTTTTTTACGCTCTGCCAACGATCGAATTCAAAATTTCCAAAAATTCATTACTTGCACGTGATTTCGGGTATATTCGACCAGCTAGGACGCGTGATTTTGTGTAAATAATTTTCTATTTGCTAGTGTATATATGTCGACAACCTACAAATGGTACCAAATACAAACTCAAAAGTAAAATAAGTTAATGAGCTGCAGTATGGCCGGTTTACAATAGAGAGCTATCATAAAAAGGAGTGTATCTTGTTGATGAGTGCATTGAAGTATTGTAAGAAAAACAGAAGTATGACATCCACATATTTCAAGCATGTGGAAACTTTAATATTTGTATCTTTAGGCATGCAATAAAATTTCGTGATAAGCTGTTGAGTTAAGTTTACTCAATTTGGAACATTGTGCATGTTTCTTTAAAAATTCTTGCTATATATTTTGTGCCATGGTTACTAACTAACTTTTTTGTATTATTGTCTCATAATACTTTGCTACCAACGCTTTGTTCACTTCTACCGCTTCTAACGGACCTACAAATCCATGACAATAGCTTCGAATGCAGTGTCTAGTTATTTTAATAGTTAAAAGACACCTTATGATTGTTTAATCTCTATGTCTTTGATAGTCATCATATCTCTTTACAAATTCTTCAATACCATTTTCTTACTTGCAGAGCATTCGACAGTCCTGTCACTGAAGCTAAAATTTTCAAGGTTTGCACGAGATTTAAGTAATCAGTCTAAATATTGCAAATAGTATTAGAAGTAAAGGTCACCTTTAAAATCACCATAAATGAATAAAATGTATTTAAATATAAACAAAAAACGTACATTATAATTTTTAATAGTTTAACTATCACCTGGCATACAATTTCCTATGGTTGGTTGCTTTTCTATAGTTAATAGGAATAATAAAGGTGCGTTTATTTGGAAAAGACAAGTAAATAGAAAAGAAATAAATCATTTTGATGTCAAATGCATCAGTTTGGGAAAGAACTGTTGGGAACTAACACAGGATTACTTCTGGTAGAAATAGATTAAACATCTTTTGCATAATATTCATACGATACCATAAATCACATGATGTTGCTGACTACGCCTAGATTTATAACCGTCTATGTGATTATAATATGACAAAGGCCATTGGAACATTCCTTATAATATAAGCATCTCCGTTATGTTAAATAAAAAGAGCAGATGGCAAAACTAGTGAAATGGCCTAACTAGGGAAGGTTTCTGACCCCATTTCCTACTTAAAATATACATAAACAACTAGCCGGTCCACCTTCAAGATGAAGCTTTGTTTACTTCGACAGCCTTGCTATCGTTGTGAGACGAAAAACGTTCGGACAAATAGGATCCACAATGGAAGAGCCCTTGAATATGATATCAATATATTAAAAATAAAACTCTTTAAAACCAAACATATGTACATTCAGT